AGCATGATGTATCTAAGGAATCAAGGTTCATTTTCAAATTACAACTTTTCAGATTATAACAAATTTTACCCAGACATATTTGAATTATATAACTCTTGTTACAGAAAACTTTTCATTTGTAATTAGAGGAATGTTTTAGTGGAATAGGAAAGAAACATTTTTCACAAAACTGAAGAGTATATTCAAGATTATTTGGAATTTTGGGGCAGGGTGAAGCATTATTGAACATTTTGGGGCATATTAACATTTACACAAGCTCATCGATGTAACTACACATCACATATACAACTCTATGGGAGGCACCACATTCTAACTTACATATCTGGGTATGTTTGGTGGAACTAGAAGAATCTGTGCGGTCTGGAGACCTTTCCTGAACATACACATGTGCTTCATCATATGAAATTACCAAATTGTTCTGCTGGACATCTCATTCTTTCTATGGCATACTGAAGAGTTATGAAATCAGGAACAAATCCAACCTCTCAATAGTGCCATGGACTAAAAGAAGCCTATGATCAAATGAATTCTAACCCATGGCCATGCTTTCTACTGGGTTTCTGAGGACAGAGGGAAAGAAAATTAAGGACATTTAGAGTCTTTGTTGAGTTTAAAGTCAACAATGTACTATTCATAAAAGGGCAGAATTTAGAAATAAAGACCCCTTTTTAGCAGTCATTTGTTACTTTAACACATTCCAAGCAGTTTCACTTTGCAAATTCCCAAACCCATTGCCATGGAGTCTATTCTTACAGTGACCCTATAGGGCAGAGTAGAGCTGCCCCATAGGGTTTTCAAGGCTGTAATCTTTAGGGGAGCAGACTGCCACATCTTTCTCCCCTGGAGCAGCTGGTGGGTTCAAGCTACCAACCTTTTTAGCAGGCAGCCGAGCACTTAACCACCGCACCACCAGGGCTCCTTACTCTGCAAACTAGGTAATAAAAAATAATAAAACAGAAAATAGTGCATTTACAAATTCCATGGATATGTAAGAAACTAAAAAATTATGGGATGGTATATTCCCATTGCTTTAAGGGGTAAACAAAGCTTGTATGCACCCCATCCACCCGAGAGACTTACGTCATATCCGCTGTTACGGATTCCACGCCGGGGTCGCTCCCGTGTCACCAGAAGGTCCATCTCGGTTTCCCCTGGACTCGGGCTGTTCAGAGACTGCCGGCTTCGGTAGACAGAGTTCTTCATCTGTTGCCTGAAGAAAATTCAACTGTTATGATGCAGCAAATGCCCTGACAGATGGAATTCTCCAGTGATCCAAACTACAGGCAACCAATGAGGGGTTTGGATTTTCCTCACAAATTTCAGAATTGATGGTGTTTGTTCCCCGGCCATAAGGGGTTGTAGAAAGAGTAGAATAAAGGTTTTGCTGCGCCCGCCCCCAGGTGCTGTAACCATTTGGCTGAATTATAAATGCTTTTTCATACGGAAACCAGGTAACTATAATCAATCGCAGCACTGCCACGTAATCTAAAATTCTGCTGATGAAAAGGCCAGGGGCTTTCCCTTGACCCTCCAGAACAGCTAACACTTTAAACACAAACTTGACTTGGTTGATTCAGCAACCTGCAGTTCCTTTTAATTCTTCTGACTTCATATGTAGGTTTCTACGATGTGTTAATAAACTGTGCAGCTAATGGGCTGTTTAATATTGCCACTGTTGATAGACTTTCTTCTCTACCTCATCATAGAGGCTTCCCTTCTGAGCTAAGGATGCATAAACCATATGGGGCTCGTCCCTCCCTCCTTCCCTTGCTTCCTTCCTTCCTCCCTCCCTCCTTCCCTTCCTTTCCTTTCTCTCTCCCTACCTTCCTTCCTTTTTTCCTTCCTCTAATATTTACTGAGTGCCTACTATATGCCAGGCACTGTGGAAGATGAGGATCCACAACTGAACAAGGCAGCAATGGCCCCTGTCCTCCTTGAGCTTACATTCTAATGAAGGAAGACAATTAACACCATAATTTCAGAGGGATAAGTGCTATCAAGAAAAACTAAGGACAAACAAGGCAATCCAAAAATGGGCAAGGACTTGAATAGACATCTCTCCAAAGAAGATATACGAACAACCGATAAGAACATGAAAAGATGCTCAACCTCATTAGTCATTAGGGCAATGCAAATCAAAATCACAATGAGATTCCACTTCATACTCTCCAGGATGGGTATTATTAAAAATGAAAAAATGGAAAATAACAAGTCTTGGTAAGGATTTGGAGAAACTGGAACCTTTGTCCATTGCTGGAGAAAATGTAAAATGGTGTAGCTGCTGTGGAAAACAGTTTGGTGGTTCCTCAAAAAGTTAAACATAAAATTACCATAGGGTCTAGAAATTCCACTCCTAGGTATCAACCCAAAAGACATGAAAGCAGAGACTCAGACAGATACTTGTACATCAGTGTTCATTGCAGCATTATTCATAATGGCCAAAAGGTGGAAACAACCCAAGTGTCCATCAACAGATGAGTAGACAAACAAAATACGGTATATACTACAATGCAATATTATTCAGCCATAAAGAGAAATGAAGTTCTGATACATGCTAAGACATAGATGAACCTTGAAAACATTATGCTAAGTGAAATAAGTCAGACAGAAAAGGACAAATATTGTATGATCTCATTTATATGAAATATCTAGAACAGACAAATGCATAGAGACAGAAAGTAGATTATTGGTTACTATCAGTGGAGGGAGGGGGGACAGCGAGTTATTACTTAATGGGCAGAGAGTTTCTCTTTGGGATGATGAAAAAGTTTTGAAAACAAATAATGGGATGGTTGTCCAGCATGGTGCTACTCGATTGTACACTTGAAAATAGTTAAAATGGCAAATTTTATGTTGTGTATATTTTATCACAATTAAAAAATAACCTAAGATGTGACAGTGGGTGACTAGAATGAGGAACAACTTTAGATAGTGTGGTCAGGAAGATCTCTCTGGGGAGGTGACGTTTAAGTCGAGACATAAGCGGAGACAGCCATGTGCCGATCCAGGCACAGAGCATTTCAGTTCCAGGGAGTGGTACATTCAGAGGTTCCACTCAGCTCCCCCTAGAAAATTCATACATTTGTCACCATTGTCTTGTTTTCACTTGTCATTAAAACCAATTACTGTTGAGTCAGTTCCAACTCATGGCGACCCCACGTGTGTCAGAGAAAAACTGTGCTCCATAGGGTTCTCAGTCGCTGATTTTTTGGGAAGAAGACTGCCAGGCCTTTCTTCCGAGGTGCCTCTGAGTGGACTCAAATCTCCAACCTTTTGGTTAGCAGCTGAGTGTGGTAACCATTTGCACCATCAGGGACTCCTCACTTGTCATTAAAGGGACTTTTTAAGGAGTACGAAAGAAACAGCAATATGGTGAGGGTTGTGGCTGTTCTTCTCTTCTTCCACAAAAAGCAACAGGTAATGCTTTCTGTCCTTTCACCAGTGGGGAATGAGGCCCAATGGGCACAGGTAACTTTCACATGATCCTGCAGAGTGACAAAGTTGGGATAAAATCACTGCTACTTGCCTCTCGTCCAACAATAAGACTCGCTCTGTAAATAAACAACTTGCATTTTCAGAGCGTCTATCTTCAGAGAACTCCTCAGACACCACCTATTTTATGTCTCGGTTCTGAGATTCTACCTGTTCATGGGTTGAAAAGGTTATATCATTATTTTTCCTATGACTAGTCAGAAGCCTGGCAGGTGTACATACCTACTGATGATCACACAACAAGTTAGTCACAGCATCAAGAACAGACATTAGAACTCCAAAAGCAGAGGACCACTCTTGCAATGAGTCTTAGGAATAAAACAGGAACTATTAGATCTACTCCCTCACCAGGAGGAACTTACACCTATTAGAGAACATCTGTGGTCTTTGTTTGCCTGGTACCTATGACAAACTTCTTTTGGTAAGAATATCCTGATGTTCCTTGGGGGCTGCTCTTTCTCCACAGGTAGGCAGGTGAGTTAAGCTGGACCAATCACATCATCATATCCCCATGGCCACAGTGATTGGTCAGGGGGTGGGCACATGACCCAAGTTGGTCCATTGAGACTTAGTCTCCAGGCTTTTGCTAGGGCGACCAGGAAAGAGTTGTCCTCTTGGCACTGAGTTTTTCTCAGGATATAAGCCTGGAGCTGTTGGCAGCCAGTCTCCCACCATGAGGTAAGAGCCTGCCTGAATATGGGGCCAGCAAAGAGTGAAGAGAGAGAAACACCAAAAATGGGAGACACTGTCTAACCCCTGGCTCCAGCCATGCCTACAGTCTTGACCTCTCAATAATGTTCAACAAGAAATTCCCTTTTTATTTAGCCAGTTTGCACTGGATTTCCATCATTTGCAGCCAAAAGAATCCTGACTAATGTCGGAGCTTATAACCTAGTGTTACAGACTATGCCCTATAGTTATCTGCAATTAGAGGCTTCCTTCAGGAAAGGAACACAACCTCAGGAAGCTTGTGAAATAGAATCTGTTCTGAGTGAATCACACTTTAAGGCAGACCCGCAGAGAATTCTCATCCTTGACCTAACTACAAATCATTTTTTGAAAAAGTAGACTTCACAACAGTTTTAAGGTTGCCAATTAGCCCATTTAGAGAAGATTTACTAATAAGGGTGGTGGGGAAGTAAATGCTGGGATGAGCAATTGACATTTAAATAGGTTATTTTGTTAAGTATTAGAAATAAAACAGTGAGCTTGTGTAAGCCCTTTTAAGAACTATGAACGTGGGTGAAAGCTGAGACACTGGAGTGTACACCAGTCTATTTTTCCTCAGAGACACCGTTCCATACAACACGCAGCTGAAAGGTTGCTGTTTAACACAGATCTCAGCTGACTAAACCACCAATGTGTGCCTAGTGTGTGTCTACTTAGACATTAGGCTCTCTGGAAGAAAAAGCAGCTCATTTTAATCAAATAGAGTTTTATTAGGCATATTCACTTCTTGTTGGTATTTTGCTGTATTCTAAAAAAGTTAACAAAGTTTGAAACATGCAGTGCTCCTTTTGACAGCATATATACTAAAAATTAGGATGCTATAGAGAAGATTAGCATGGCCCCCGAGCAAGGATGACATGCAAATTCATGAAGCATTCCATATTTTATTTTAAAACAAGTTTGAAATATAAAAACTTGAGATGTTTTTATCTCTGAAAAATCTTGTTGGGCAGATAATGATGAGTTTTACTTGAATTTTCAGGGGCTTTTTTTTTTTTTTTTTTAATCCCAGTATAGTTTAAGATGAGTCCCTTGTTGGTGAAAATGATTAATGTGCTTGGCTGTTAACCAAGAGGTTGGAGGTTCGAGTCCACCCAGAGGTACCACAAAAGAAAGGTCTGGTGATCTACTTCTGAAAAATCAGCCATTGAAAACCCTGTGGAGCACAGTTCTACTCTGACATGCTTGGGGTCTCCGTGAGTTGGAACTGACTCGACAGCAATTGAAAAAAAATGGTTTAAGAAAGTAGTTCTCAAACTGTATTCTATGGAACCCTGGGGTTCCATGAAGATGCCCTGGAGCTACTGAGAAGGATGAAGAGGAGGCCCTGCTTCCATCAGAGCAACTCTGTTTTGATGTTATTATTTTAGGCTGGGTTCACCCAGAAGCAGGCCCTGAGATGATTTGAATGCAAGTAGTTTGCTTGGGAGGGGATTCCCAAAAGCACAAATCAGGGAGTGGGGAAATGAGAGAAGGAAAGTATTATGGACTGAACTGTGTCACCTCAAAAGATACGCTGAAGTCCTAACCCTTGTATCTGTGAACATGACCTTGTTTGGAAACAGGGTCTTTGAAGATGTTATCAGTTAACACGAGGTCATACCAGAGTGGGTGGGGAGTCCTAACCCAATCTCAGTGACATCCTTATAAAACAGAAGAGGCACAGAGGGATAGACAGAGGGAAGACAGCCATGTGATGACAGTTATACTGCAGCTACAAGCCAAAAAAATGCCTGGGGCTACCAGAACCTGAGAGAGACAAGAAAGGATCATCCCCTAGAGACTTCAGGGAGGACATGGCGCTGCCGACACCCTGGATTTGGAATACACAGTCACTGTACCAAAAAGAATTGGTCAACATTCAACCATTTCAGGAGGTAGCATATGATCAAGAACCAATGGTACTGAAGGAAGAGGTCCAAGCTGCACTGAAGGCATTGGTGAAAAACAAGGCTCCAGGAATTGACGGAATACCACTTGAGATATTTCAACAAACAGATGCAGCACTGGAAGTGCTCACTCATCTATGTCAAGAAATTTGGAAGACAACTACCTGGCCAACCAACTATAAGATATCCATATTTGTGCCCATTCCAAAGAAAGATGATCCAATAGAATGTGGAAATTATCAAACAATATCATTAATATCACACACGAGTAAGATTTTGCTGAAAATCATTCAAAAGCGGTTGCAGCAGTACAGAAATTCAAGCAGGATTCAGAAGAGGACATGGAACAAAGGGTATCATTGCTGATGTCAGATGGATCATGGCTAAAAGCAGAGAATGCCAGAAAGATGTTTACCTGTGTTTTATTGACTATGCAAAGGCATTTGACTGTGGGGATCATAACAAATTATGGATAACATTGCAAAGAAGGGGAATTCCAGAACATTTAACTGTGCTCATGAGGAACCTGCACATAGATCAAGAGGCACTGGTTCGAACAGAATAAGGGGATACTGCATGGTTTAAAGTCAGGAAAGGTGTGCATCAGGGTTGTGTCCTTTCACCGTATTTATTCAATCTGTATGCTGAGCAAATAATCTGAGAAGCTGGACTATATGAAGAACAGGGCATCAGGACTGGAGGAAGACTGATTAACAACCTGTGATATGCAGATGACACACCCTTGCTTGCTGAAAGTGAGGAGAACTTGAAGCACTTACTGATGAAGAGCAAAGACTACAGCCTTCAGTATGGATTACACCTCAACATTAAGTAAACAACTGGATCAATAAGCAACATCATGATAAGTGGAGAAAAGATTGAAGTTGTCAAGAATTTCATTTACTTGGATCCACAATCAAAACCCATGAAAGCAGCAGTCAAGACATCAAATGATGCATTGCATCAGGCAGTCTGCTGCAAAATCTCTCTTTAAAGCATTAAAAAGCAAAGATGTCACTTGAAGGACTAAAGGTGTGCCTGACCCAAGCCACAGTGTTTTCAATCGCCTCATATGCAGGTGAAAGCTGGACCATGAATAGGGAAGACCAAAGAAGAATTGATGCCTTTGAATTATGGTGTCGGCGAAGAATATTGAATATACCATGGACTGCCAGAAGA